AGCTCACATAATACATGGCAACCGACATCCCAAGTTGTTCTACCAAGGATACGTCTATAGGCCGCATAACGCGTATCGGAAGAACAGAGTGCAATTATGGTACTGCAAGTTCAGAGAAGTACGAAATTGTAGGGCCACTGTAAAAACTGTTCAAGGTCTAGTGGTCCACACTGATCAAGGGATTGAACACATATGCCAATTGCCACGATCGTTAAATATTCCTAATTCTTCTATCAGTTTCCGTCACTAAAATTTAAAATTTTAAAGAATCCTTTTAAAATATAATAGGAGGGGGAAACCCGAAACATAACAACATTTTACTTTTCACCACCCTTAAGGTAGGTTACGCATGTGGCATCTGGGTAATTCGGATCACCGAAGAAAGAGGATTTAAAAAAGTTACTTAAGAAGAACTCCTAGTTGAAAAATGGTTTACGAGTATATGGCAACATTAAATCTTTATCATCTTCATCAACCATAAGACGTCTATTGCTGAACAAATTTTTTTCTCTTAGTTCTCCATGGGAATCGCCATTTGCTTCCAACGTTTGCACCTTTAAAGTAAAACCGTTATTAAACGAACATTTTCCTGAATTGAGTTAATGCCATCATTATTTTAGGCTTTTTAAATAGTCAATTCATGAAAAAAGACATCAGTAGATATATATAAACTAATGTGTAAAATCTGTACGTGTCACCTGATTTAGCGTGTAAAATAAAGTTTTTCTTTCTTCCTAATTTATATTATATATATTATTTTATTAATTAAATTCATGATAATTTTTCATTTGACTATTAACGGTTTTATTTTAAAAGATCGGGTTGTATTTTAGTACGTACCTACTTTCATTTATATCTAATTATGTTGTAAATAAGTGAGTTAAAGAAGAAACCACAAATTAATCTTAAAATATTTTATTGCAATATCTAATATCAACATTATACAAAAATATTGAAACATGAAATGTACTTACGGGCTTACTGAATACGATTTATAATAAAAAACTAATGCTATTATTTAAAGCTTATTTTTAATTAATATTGCATCAAATGCACACTCGTAAAAGACACTTTATTAACCAGATCTTAAGGCACTTACTGTTTTAACAAATATATTCGAGCTTTTCTATATCATACCAATATTCTACAATATAATAATACAAAGAAAAATATAAGGAATGATGGGAATTCGTTATTCTTAGTCTTATCGTCAAACTTAATACTAGATCAGTTGATATTTTTAAGATTCAGTTAAGCAATTTCCAGTATAGACAGATCTAACAAAAATATATATAGAAAAGTATACAGAATTCAACACCTGATCTGAAAATCATGATTTTGAATATTGACAAAAATACTTAACTCAAAATATGTACACACATTAATCTATACAAAACCAGTTTATCTTGGTGTCGCGTGGCATCATCTTTCCGCACATTTAACGTTCAGTTTATACTGGTTATGTAAAACTCAATGTGTAGCCGTGTGTACTATAAAGAAACATAATACAGATAATGTAACACAAAAAATATAATAGACTAAACAAAAAATCCACAAAGTATCAAATCACATGGCATCGTGATTGTGTTCTAAAAACGACCTGACTATAGTTGCATCGTGTGTCGTGATACTTGCGCGGCACCCCAGTTGTATTCGCTTGCTACAAGTCCATCGAACCTTTTTTCTGTAACATTCGTGCTTTATGAACTTGTGGTCCCCCACGTGCACGACAAGATGGCCGCGGTTTGACAGCCCGAAGCGAACTGTAAACGAAAAAATTTGAGGTTAGGAAAAAAATATCATTTTTTTTTTATTATAAACTAGCGACCCGCCCCGGCTTCGCACGGGTGCAATATGTATATACATACAAACCTTCCTTAAGAATCACTCTATCTATTAAAAAAAACCGCATCAAAATCCGTTGCGTAGTTTTAAAGATCTAAGCATACATACGGACATACAGCGAAAGCGACTTTGTTTTATACTATGTATTGATGTGTATAAAAATGTAAAATATGATTTTAATTTTTTATGATAAATGTATGGATGCTGTATTTGTAGTTTTAATAAAATAATAAGAATGAATATTTTATGCCTAATTGTAAAGTAGTATTGTAATAAAAAAGTAAAATGTATTTGTTTTTATTATTTAAATACCTATACACGTGATTTAATAAAAAGACAGTACCTACTTAGTAATAAAACTCTTATGTCGGAATACTGAAACGCTACTCAATTTTAAGTTGTGCTTAAGTATAGTTCTATCTCTACAAATTCTCTGTAAAATGACAGAGATGGCACGATATTTGAGCACGACTTAAAATTAAGTAACGTTTCAGTATTCCGGCATTAGTCTTAGTACCAGATAATAATTTATCATTTTATTTGTTACAGTTGGCCTGATTGGAACTGGTATTGATTCCTTCGCTTCTTACTGCCTCAGCAAGCAGGGGAAGATGGGTATCAACGTCGGTGGCTACAGGTTCAGGTTTAATGGATGCGCCAGGAACGGGAAGATACGCTGGAGGTGCTCCCGAGGACCTTGGTGCAAGGCAGCTCTCCACACGTACCGAGGAAGAATCGTCTACATACAAAGCACCCACAATTGTGGCCCAAAACCGCCTACTTAAAAATTAAAAAAAACTACAAAAATCGTGATCTATTTTATTTCTTACTCGAATTTATTATAACAAGCTCATTTTATAAAAAAACGTTATAAACGATTTTTTTTTAATACCCTTTTGTATTCGATTTCGAATCTATTTTTAAAATGGGAATAACATAATCTGTATTTTGAAATTTTATATTATTTTCAAATGCAGAAAATGGAAAATATAGTACAAAATACCGCAAACTGTAAAGAAAATTGATAATAAAAATATCAACAATTATTTTTATAAGTGTAAATAAAACATGTTAATTTAGAAAAACATATAGGTAAGGTGCGTCCATTAATTAAGTGGAGTTATTTTCTAGACTTTTTAGGTCCCCTAAATACAATTTCATATACGAATAAAATTTTATATTGTACCAAAAGTATCACTTCCAAAAAATTCTGAATTTGAGGAACTTTAGAATATAATTTAAGTTGGTATGTGGTCTACCGCACCCAAAACATCTCACATAGTTAATGGACGCTACCTAGTCATTTAAAAGAAAAAAAAGAAACAAAAGCTCAAATTACAAAACGTGGAAAGTATATTGTATACATGCCTATATATGTTATTTATTTTGGTGTAATGTATAGTTACCGTCCTTTAAGAAACCGGATTATGTTTCGCGGGATAAAAATCTTTTAGCACATAAGTTAGTATATAAGAAAATTTTACCTCATAGATGATTAGTGCTAGATTGTTAGTAGGGTGAACGAGCCAGTACATGTCCTTTTGTATATAATATAAATGTATACAACAAAGTAAATCAATATAAATGTGTGTGAAATTATAAAAGGCACACAAGTATTTTCACCCTTATTGTAATGTGCTCAGAAAATCTTTAAAATAGAATACGTTTTTTATAGAACTTTGACAGTATATTGACGTTAAACAGTACTTATATATAATTATACTACAAAATATTGTATGGCCAAATAAAGAAGTGACAAAATAATGTAATGTATGACAAATATTATGTACAAGAATTTTGATTATTTGTATATTAAAAAATAACATTGACTCTAGACTCTAGAATTACACAAAATTTTGTTCCAAGGGCATGTTATATAGGATCACAATACAGGGTTTGTTGTCTAAGCAATTTATCAAGTTCACAGGAAAAATAAAATTATGTAAATATCACAATCCATAAGGATTTAAAGTTATTTATTAGGAAATATATTTTTATGCAGCTGTTTGTAAATTAGATATTAAAATTACCATTCTTCTTGCCAAATTGTAACTTTGACAACTAAGTATTTTTGATCATTGAACCGACACAAATGCGAAATTATTAAAATGATATACTTAAATATATCAAAAAATATAACTGTCAGACACGAATTGAAACCGTCATTCTGTTGTTTTTATGAAAAAAGTGACAATAATAAGATTGAAAAAATCTGGAAAACTTTAAAATATCCATATCATCATTTAATTTGACTGGGATAAAATTAATATATCAGTAAAATTAACATAAAATTAGGTTTTTAAAAGAATTTAATGTGTATTACAGATGCCTATGTAATTGGCTACCTCTTAGTAATTATAAATTATATCTATATATATTATTATGTATTATAACATATAATGTCTGCATGGTTGTGTGCGTTTACTACCGGTAGTGAATACTTGCCAAATTGTGTAGATGTATCTTGATGTAATTCGATGTTTGCAAGAGAATAAAAACTAGTCATAATTGTTATTTTTATTTTTTCCTACCCCTCACGGTTATAAATAAAAACTTATAATTAATACTTCATGAAATGGTTTTCACAAACAGTGAAGATGTAAGAAAAATAAATATAAGGTTTACTACAAAATTTGCACTGACACATCATATGCTAATTACTAATAAATCTTACCACATAAAACAAATGAAAAGGCTTGAAAATGTACAGGCTAAAACCACGTCAATCTTCTTCAGTCGCATAATAATTTAGATGAATTTTATTACTAGAAAAGTATTTTATAAGGCGTAAGTAAAGTAAAATATTTTAAAACTGAACCAAAAGGATGGTTTGCTGGATAGTTAGTTTAGTAGATAGCAATTGATTGGCTCTCGAAGAAGACCATTAAAATAGCCAGCACATGTAGCTCCAACCGAACAAGTGGTTTATTGTTTTCGAACAGAATGCCATAGTGCAGAGTAAAGAAAAAAAATGGGTGTAAGTTTCAACTCAAAACTGTACAGAAAACGCACACTAATGAACACACTGCACTACGCAACAGGGACCTGGAAATAGGTAAAAAGGAAAATTATAACAAACTAAACATATAAAAGAAAAACAAAATCTAAGAACTAAATCAATAAAATTCTTATCAATCTAAAATTACAACTCCATAGTATTTTGCCCATGTTTATTTTTAAGCTTTAAAATATGTACACAAACTATATTTTATTTAATACATAACCTAGAGAAAAAACCTGTGCTACCAATAGCCGTTAACAAAAAAAAACTAAATTAATACTAGGTTCCCAAAAACCTACCTTATTGATATAAAAATAAAACTAGTTTTGCATTATTTTACACAGAGGACAAAATACTATTACTTTTTAAATCAAAAGGACTACTTTCCTTACAATTTATTTTACTATATAATGTATTAGAATACAGGAGAATTTATGATAAAAACCGCGGCAATTTTATGCACAGATAATATAAATTGATTTTTTTTTTTAATTCTGTAAGGAGGTTGAAAACCATGTCTCTTATTTCTCAAGTACCAATACCAATATGATAGAACTGTAAACAATTGTTACAAGTATGAAAATAATTAGCATTATCAAACAGTTCTACACACATATTCAAGTAAAAAAATGATTTTGATATAACAAGATGCTACAGGTATTTTAGCCACATACTTTACGAATTTTGCAGAATATTATAAAAATACTTTTAAAATATTGATTGGACTGTCCTATACAATGACAGCACTAAAAATGCTACATATAATTCGTGGTGCATTTGATAAAGTTACAAATATTGTGATTTTATAGTAAAAAGTATTAGATTATATTATCATTTACACTGTTGTATAGAGAAAGACCACTATTAAGGTTCAATTTACCTACTAGGGGCATTACAACCACATTTTCTTTTGATTAAACCGATAGGACATAATTCTATAGAAGTGCCACCTAGTAGTTGCAGAAACTAGCATTTCAAACGGTGATGATATTTTATTTATATAATTTTAAAACCAGATACTGTATTTTACTATAACTACCATGTGATTAAATGTATGACATATTGAATTTACATGTTTGAGTTATATAGATTTTAAAGTAGGTATGATCACAATTTCATATAAACTTTAAAAGGTGGAGAGACACCATCGAATTTTGAGTAACATATGGAATCACGTATCTATGTATAAATATAATGTGCTAAAATTGACACACCCAGTAGTTAAAGATGCATAATAAAATATAAACTTATGATTTTTAAAACAATGATAATATTTTACCATATTACCTATAAATTATTTTAAAACTTTGTACACACTGAAAACCAAAGGAAAATGAATGCTAATTATATATAAACAACTATAGTTACATAATATGCTAGATTAAAAATAAAACTATATTTTACTAGATATAAAAATATAGAAGGTATGTTTAAACCTAAATATACTAAAACCAACTTATGTTTAAACACATTACATTGAGAGATTTTACTGGAGTTATTATCATAGGCTTATTTTATTAATATAATACACCACAAAGCCCCATAAAACTAACATTCCATGTAGTAGGGTCCAACCCTACATTTTTTAGAAATAAAATAACCCCGCATAAAATATACTCCAATAAAACCTAAATAAATGCTGCATCTACGCACATAACATCACGCCTTTTGATTCCCGAAGGAGAAAGGTATACTTAAGGTAATATAACCTAGAGAAAGGCCAAAAATATAATCTTAATAACAGCTTCGAGCTTTTAAATGAGAGTTTTTGATTTTGCGCTCACGAGATGGCGCTAGAGGCGTAGGACGTTTTATCTATATCAGCTTAGCTTTCACATTATTTGAATAATATTTTAAATGATCGATTCAAATAAAAAACAGCCTTATCAGCATATAGAATGAATTACTAACCAATTGGTGTTAAAAAGTTTGATTCACACATAATATAAACCTTATGACTGCCATGTGAAAAAGGAAAATCTAGCATGGAGGGCTATTCATAGAATTCATATGAAATTGGAAATTAATCTATGAATGTAAGAATGATCAAAAGAATGCGGTTCACTTTAATACAAGAAACAATGAACGAGTTAACAAAAGACGATAATCAAACGATTACGTTTTACGATATTATTTACGACAAAAAGTTTATCACGCTCACATGAGCACATTTTGGATTACAACGACATAAATGTGGCGTTCAAATGGTTACAGCATATGTTTTACAATATCTAAAACAAGAACATGGAAGCTATCATTATTAAAATTAGCTAAATTACGTGACACTGTACAAAATTTACACATCATGTTTCGTAAGAAACCGTGAACTTTAGACACAGTATCCCTATTAACTATTAAGCTTAATTTCTGAATCAAAGTCTGTGCCTAATAGTTTATCTACAACTGCTGTCCTTTCGGGAAACGCGATGTCAACACCAAATACTTGTAACTTGAAACAAGAACCTTAAATCACACAGTCACTTATAGAAATAACCCAGTTAAATATCCAGCAACTACTTCAACCAAATCACATAATGTTTTTAATAAGTATGTAGTTTAACTGGGCTGGAAGGGTATCTCAGCAAGTCTCTTCAGTTTCTACGTCTGCTCCGGTGATGATCTGGTCACCAGAAACTACACCATGTTCTAACTTTAGATGGTTGAGTATACCAGCCATACTCTTGTCTATATCACTACACTTCAGACACTTGTACTGGCATATTTTGCAGCTGTAAAAGTCGTTGTCTATCGCTTCGAACACCTTCCACACCCAGCTCTGGTCACCTGGAACATGGATTTTTGTATTTGAGATTTAATTATTTGTAGAATTAAAAAGGACTTAAAAACTACAGGTCTGCCTAGTTTGGAAATCAGGGCTTAATGATTAATTGGCACTACCACTTCTGTACCTTAGTTTTACACAAAGTAATGTACAAATACATTGGTGTTCAATAAAGAATTTATTTATTTAATTTCACAATTTAATGCTCTAAATATTTGAACAAATTGAGGAGGAAAATTGCAATAGAACCTATTAATACTTTAGCATATTCCGACTTGTTTGAGCTTGTTCAACTCCTGGTTCGAGCCAGAGACACAATAACTTACTGGGCTTTATCTGCAACCCGGGCTTTTAGTATATGTTTGAATCAAGATACATATGAAATATGTTTTTCGAAATTCTCAGGTAGATTGGGAAGGAAAGTGACTCACATCCATCTTCCCTTTTATATAAAAGTCATAAGATAACTGGCAATATGTTTGGTTACGGTACGGTTTCCTTCAACCTACCCCTTGAGGCAATAGAAAATTGGTTCTGATGCATAGTATTCTCTCTAAAAACATAAATGTCATATAAAAATGTACTTACAAGGCATATCACAGGCAGTCTTGTGATGTATCATCTTGAGATGGCGGTTCATGTTGCCGGTAGCGTTGCCGCCATGACAGATGTGTCGGTCGCAGAGCTTGCAGCGTGCCTGTGTACTCGATACGCGATCGAAATATGACCAGATCCAGCTGCGACGCATCTTCTGTGTTGGGCTCTCTGGAAAAATATTATTGATATTGAATAAATTATTCTTGACAAAGGCTTCATCGCATATTGGGATCTTATACGCGAGAAACGAACCCGTGAATCGTTGCGCTCTGAAGTGTGACTGCCGGCCAAGGGGTCAAGGGTTCGATTCCGGAATCGGGCAAAGTATTACTGTTTCTTAAAAAAATTTCAGTAGTAGCACGGAGTTTGGAATTGTGGCCGTTTAAGGCAATAGGCTTACCCTCTATTACATGGGACTCGTAACATAAATAGTGGAAAGTGGATGGGCACCTTTGCCTACCGCTTCGGGGATAAAAAGGTGTGATATTATGCTATAATGTACCAAAATGTAAGAAAACCTAAGCAAATTCTCACCTGTAGTAATAATTTCTTCAAAGTCTCGATCGCTGGCATATATTTCTTCTGTTTTAATAGCATATGGTGTGTTTGTTTCGCTAGTCAGCACATAACCGCTGTCTACTAAAATAGTATCTCCTTTCTGTCTCTTTGTTACCTCACTCTTGAAGACCGTAGGATGTCTGGAGCGGACATGTCTATTCATATTGTTGGAATTGCAACCCTTGATTGAGAGCACTACATTGCACAATTTGCAACGGTAGATAATGTTGCTCAGCTTATCAAAGTACTTCCACACCCAGCTGCGCTTGCGTGGCCCTGTAATGTGATAAAAAAAAATATTGTATGCTGGGAACTTATGGTAGACAATAGATAAAGGAAAAAAAAAATTATTTTTTAAAGATAGCTTTTCAATATTGTTATATAGCAGTCATAAATTGTTCGAATGTTGTGATGGTCAATTTAGAGCAAAAGATTTGCCTGTTATTTTTCCTACGATTAAAAAAAAATTTCTTAAACCATGATTATGAAAAATCCACAAAATTTGGTCATACAAAAATAGAAAAAAAACATCGGGAATAAGGTCTGTAAAGGAGTAAGTGGAGAGCGGTCACCGGGCGACCAAAAAAAAACTAGGCATGTTATTACACAATTCTCTATTTTTTAAAGAAAAAAACTTCTCCATTTTTTAAAGAAATGAGCATGCTGCATAATAATTATTGCCACCTTATTCTGTTCATTTTGAAATCAATATACACCATCACTTCAAGTTAGAAGAAAATATTAGACACAGTTGTCAGCAACTGAGTATTTTATAAGAAAAGCTACCAACCTGTACTCTCACGTTTCGGTTTCTTTTTACGGTCAAGTAACACAAAAGGCAAAGTAGTATCATCAGTTTTTGTTGACATTTCTACATCTTTCTGTTCAATTGTCTCTGTAGTAGTTTCACATACTTCGCCAAGTATTACTGGTTCATTCTTAGGGTCTCCATCATCTTTTAACATATTCAAATGCAGGAATTCGATTCGGAAACCTACAGTAGCCTCCGGGTTGTCCTTGTGAAGATCATAAATGTCCTTATGATCAATTTTCAGATGTTCCAATAACTCCATAGACTTCTCATCGACTTTAAGATTGATATCACAAAGATTACATTTCATTTCATTGTCGGATATCTTGACAAAGTATATTGATGTCCATTCTGGGAACTGTTCAGGCTCATCTGTAACCAATTTGAAGAATATTTAAGTATAGTGGTTCATATTCTTAATTTAACTAAATAGCTAATTTTACAAATATAATAGTAAGGAAAATGAAACTAAACATTTTTATAATTCAATTCTTTAATTCTCATTTTAAACTTACAATATAAATATGAGTATTTGTTGTTTCCTTCTAAATAAATGCTAGTTCTAAAGTGATGAATACATCATACTGTATTGGAGTCGTAATATTGCATAAATACACAATAAATTAATTAATACTTAGAATAAAATAAAGTTATCGATTTGTCAAAAGTTTTTAATCATTACAAACAATTTGTTACTATTATTAAAACAATTATTTAAAAAACAATCACAGAACTTAGCAGATTAGAAAATCAAACTGTACTTTGTCACAGAAACAAGATACAATAATAGTTAGTCTGAGAACATAGGTTTCTTGTGATTATGGAAGTCTCTGACCACTTCGACGCCGTATGTTTGCATATTAATGACAGATATGCAACCTGTTTTCTGTCTAAACGAACATATCCACTGCTCGGCACCACACTGCAACCTACTTTTAAAAACGTATGTGTAACCTTTAAACAATATCTGGTGCCCCTTTTTAGTAGGCACGCACTGCACAAAGTCATCACCTGCAATGTTTTCACATAATTAATCATAGCTCAACAAGTAATAAGCTTATATTTACACCAATATTGTTTTATGAAGAATCAAAACAACTGAACATTACACCGTTCGCTGTCGCCAACGACCTAACCAAAGATAAAAAATAAATAACACAAGGCCTATTGTATAGCTTGCAAAACATAGTTTAAATTAAATAAAACATATCAGAAATACTATAAAAATTAGAAACTAAAAGATAAACGTGGGAAAACAGTGAAAATAAATGAAATGACGCAACAAAACTGTCAAACCAAAATGACGTTTGGATTTGTTTGACAACTCGAAGCTTGATGATTACGTTTCGGATTACGTAGAAATAAAAGTTGATATTATTTATAATCGCAAAAAATACTTACGATCTTAGTAAGCCATTTGGGCATACATACACCTTGATTTTGGAATGTTTTAGTAAGTTACAAAGAATTCCAGTATGAAGTACAGCATTCTTCTAACCTACCAAACTTCATACCTCTCTATTACTCTTCCATGTTTTTCTATGGGGTTACCATTACAAAAATAAAACGGTGCAAAATGAACACTTTCTATAATACAACAGAGATGGCGTTAGTTGTAACATTTGACATTATTTCGATGGTATTTTTGTTGTAATGACGCCAACTTCTATTTTACATGATCAGCCTTCATTCTGTTTTTCTCCTAAACAAAAGGTATTACTAATTAAATACGTATATTAATTCAGTTATAAAAATTTATTTCGTTAGCGGATAACGTTCATTACAAAAATTACAAAAATATTTAGATACCTACCTACATTTAATTTATAAAAAAAAAAAAAAAAGTACAAAGAATTAATAATTTGTTATTTCAAACTATAGAACATCTCGCTTATGGACTATGAGGAGAGTAGGAATAGGAGCAGAGCTGCTGCTGAAACAGCGCGGGAGCAGCTACTTTTTGATACGTGCCGTCTTCATTCATAACCATGATAGGTTTATTGTGATTGTGAAATCCTTCGGCAACTGGTACCCCTTTCTTAGAACTATAAAACTTTACGGAGGCACGACATTTGTTCGCTTTAGATGAACAGTACCAGACATCACAAGTGTTCGATTGAGTCCCTCGCCAATATGTGTAGCCGTTAATGTAGAGTAGCCTCGCACCTCTTGTAGTTGTTATGAAACTACCTAAAAATGAATGAAAATGTACATAAGTGATTATTGGACTAGATGCATCTTTGAAAGTCATTAGAATAACTTGCAACGCCGGAAAACATAGTTCGAAAAGATATAATAATAATAATATAATAATAAAAATCTTTATTTTCTCAAAAATACTCTACGGATACAAATTATATAATATGTTACAATTAAGAGACTGGTGTCTGTTAAAGGTATAACCTGTGTTACAGATCACCAGATGAGTTATCGTTCTTGCTACTCACCAACAGATGGCAGCAGTAGTCACAAATATTTTTAGTCTCGTCACGGAATACTATTTTTAATTCTAAGTACTTTATTGTATTGTGATTATTTTTAATATTTATCAGCATTATATGAATAAAATAAGTAGGTATGATTTTTATACGTGTGTACGTCATTTGTTTTCATTTATGAACTCTTGCGTTTAGGTACTGTTTACGTACTAATATTCTACACGTGTTTTTAGAACAATGACGTAGAAATTTTGTGCGTCCGAATTAGTAGTTTAGAATAGTAATTATTGTAAACAGTCCTTTTATGGGTTCATTAGATATAACTTTTTACTGGTTATTAGGCATATTTTGTGGACCTTATTTTTTGTTTCGGACAGGTGAAACACATGGAGTCATGTTTTGGTTCAGTGCCAGACAACAGACGTCGCGTCGTCTGGGATAGCTTTTGAAGACGGAGAACACAATACTAATACATACATCTATCGTGTACTTATGAACTAGCATTTGTCATAGTGTATCTACTAGTACGTATCTAGGTAGTACCTATTCTTTAGTTTTTTCTACGTTAATTTCGAGACTAGGTAATTTATTTGTAAGCTACAAATCTATTCACGGTATACCCTAGTATTATATCACAATTTACGGCTTGCCTCACCATCCAATTATTCGTTTCTTCATAACTGTCTTTTATTTGACTTGTTTAATTCTAGTATTAATTATTACAACCGCCCCAAATTTACCATATCTGAAATCACACATTGACATGAACTATCCACACATTTCAATTATTATATCACATAATTAATAATTATTATATTATTTAATATATTGAAGACTCACCGTCACAGCTCGAGTTTCACCGCGGGATTTGCACGTGAATTATTGGTATTGCTTTATATTACGGCACGCAACCCCAGTTTGTTTCGTTCAATAGGAACGCAATACAATCGTAGTGGTGGTGCGCGTGGTTACGTTGCAAATGAGCATGAAATCAGGCACCCTGATTACCTGCGACTTCCGAGATGGACATTGCGATTTCATGGTGTTTTATTTTATTTTACAAATACCCCACGGCACACTTAAATTATAGCACGTGCATATATTGACATAATTATTTTTGGCCGTTTCTTTTTGCATATGATATAATCTATGGTTTTTTATAAATTTGATGATCATTTATTTAACAGTAGGTACACTATTTTAATTATATTTTGGTAATATTTTTATTATCTGTCTCTTCTTCATCTGATAATATTTTTAATATACATATATCTCTTCTTGAACATTTCACCTAGAACCCACAAAATTAAAATGAAGTTTTTGCATATATGCGCATTACAATACTTGTAATCCGCATATATGCAAACGCGTGTTGCTCTCGTCCATGCGTCACTGCAGGGGTGCCAACTGAAAATCAGTGTTGGGTGCTTATTGTGCCCAGCTTTATGCTGAGTTGGTGACCCGTTCGGATTGGGCATGTCCGCCAACACCGCGCCGTATGTTGCACCTGTACTAGTGGCTTGTCTTAGTTTTATAATTTACCTATTATCTTTTTTTTCTTTATAATATGTCTGTTTTTAAACCTTTTTATTGTTATATGTCATAATGTTTAAGTTTTTTTTCCTGGCGTGCATGTCTTATGCCGAATACACGTACCTATTCATTTCATTTCAGTTTTTTAAAGTCAGTTAAGTTTATTTAGCCTAAAAACATTTAATTTTACGATCCATTTTTAAAACGCAATTGTGGTCTCTGTGATCTTATTTATACAAGTACAGACAGCCTCGAAATTAAAAGCAAATATTTTTTTTTATTTCATAATAGGTCAACAATCAAAACTATGTAGAATGCGGTTCAAAAACGAAGGACAAGTTTATAAGACCTGTGTTTCGTGACTCACTGTTACTCGATCTAATATTTTTAGGAGCACTGTGTACTGAAGTCAATGGTGCGTGAGAAATAGATTATGGAATATTGTATCCTCGTCCTGCAAGTTGATTAGAACCTGTCTGATAATTTTGCACTGCTGCACTTTCCTCTTTTTTGTGCTATGATTCATGCATTTGGAAGATTTTGTACTTTGTCCAGATTAATAATAACAACAAAAAAGAGAGTATGCATGCTTAGGATAATTATTATTAAACGGTTTTATTTTTTAATATATGGCAATACTTAAACAATTGTTATTGGAACGTTTGTTTAAATCTGTGTTCTCCGGACTTCAAAATAATTAAACAAATCAAACAAAAACAACACCTTTTAAAGACATAAGGTTTATTTAAGTGTTTCCAGCAAAATATTAACACTTACAATAAAAAGAAATCTTCGTTCGCACAGCGCCAAATGTCTAGCGCACAGCTTAATGCTGTCGACGCAGTCCACGGCGCTGATTGTCAGCACTAGCCAGTATGTAGTAAGTACACAGTCACACAGATCTAAGTAACTAAACTATAAACCCATAGACAGTCCATGAACAAACGTCTTTATTTTTAAACTGTAAAAAATTAGGCATGGAAATCAGCAAAGCAATTTCTCTGCCTAGTTACGCATAATTTTATATTACATGTACTACATTTAAATTTTGTTTTCTTACGATGGCATAACCTACATCTGGTTTGATTATCTACTAATGTAGGCATATGATTTGCCCCAGAAGTGCAACGGCTCTTAATTAGGAGAAGTTTTTTACTTAGACTATCCGTTCTGTGTTCAATGCTCTGGATAGACTGATTGTCTCTATCATTCGAACTGTCTTCATTGTCTGTGTTTCGAAGGATCGATTCTGCGAAAATAAACCATCTAGGTAATTACTACAATGTCCAAAACTCATAAAACAAAATAAACAAATAAAAAGTACGAAGGAAAGTCAATGACAAGTTCAAACCGTTTATTTAAATAAAATCACTTAACTACAGGCACTTTGGAAATTGGTTGTTGTTCCTAGATATAGAGGTATATACTTAGGTTTATTCATAAATTCGATGTAGGAAGAACAACTTACCAAAACGAAAAGAAAAATAAAGAGATCCAACTTCCAAGTAATATTCAGGAATCAGTGCAACAACGAGTAGAAGATTTAAACGAAAATAACACTACTTTTCAAATAAAAAAACAACACAAATTACTTTCTAATAGCCTCGATCTGTAGCAATACCTAGGACTAAATAAGACAAGGTTCTCATTCGAGGTCGTTAACCAAAAACATTTCGAACTATGTTCAAAATAAACAATTTAGAACAACAGGGTGTCGTTTCAGAAACCTATTAAGCCATTTCTTGCCTGCAAGCTTCGACTCACAATTAAAACTATGCCTAATGTCGTAATTTTCGCAAAAAAGGTAAGCTTGTCTGCAAATAGAGAAGGGAGTTAGGGGGCCTCCATTATTTCTAAGTTCTATCAGTCTTTTCACTAATTGTGTTTCTTGAGCTTCGTTTAATATAGATTTTCTTCCTAATTTCGTAACTATGCAACCTTTGGCTAGGTGGCCTGCTAGTGTTTGCCTAGGGATGCCATATAGAGCTGATGCCTGACGCTGCGTCATCTTGTTATGAAGCACGGCCGTCATGGCTCCTTGCAAACTGTCCTCAGTCCATAATGCTTTTTTTACCGGCCATCTTACACTTACTGGAAGGAAGCCATATTCTCAATATAAACCAGATGAGTACTAAATAAAAGCAAGTTTAAAGAATTTATTCATTGCAATAAATTAAGTTCACAATTAATTCTACTACATAGGAAAATAAGATGAAATAAACACCTATCATAAAATTGGTATAAAAAAATTAAAGTTGTTAAGACAAATAGAAATTTATTAATTCAGATTTAATCATGATACATTCACAATCAGATTTTGATACTTTTAAAAATGCCTTTACAAACATTTATTTTTCACATCCCCCAATTCTTTAGGGTCACATTATGTTTTTTTTAAAACCCCAATTTTATATGATGGGCGGATGATCTTTCCAAAAAAGAGTTTGAACGGTGATAGCTGGAACTAATATTGATTTGGACTGAATCACCCACTTCGGACCATATCCCATACACAATCATCCGAACATAGTACCTACCTCCTCTTTTAAGCGCGATAAAAATAAGAAATATTAAAACCGATTGAGTCGTTGTGTACCAGTTTGCCACAGTTACGATACTAGCGATTATTCCAAATTTTTTTTTTCTAAGTCGTTTTTTGTTTTTCTAAATTATTCTTTTCTTAGAACATTAATAGGTAGATATTTCTCTGTCAACAATTCCCTCATTAATCCTCGTTTCAAAGGAAATTTATCAATACATGATTATTAATTTGTCCGCAGACCTTTATGCTAAGGTCTCACGGCGCGATCTTCTCGGTTGAGTTCCAGACCGGCCGTCCCATTGCCATCGCCCGCCAACCGACCTCAGAGTGCGAGCGCGCGGGTGCTAGCCGCCGGCCGCCGCGGCCGCGCCTGTCGTTGCAGCGGGAGTTGCAATCATTGCGTCGGTGCATTATGAATTTTCGTGTAGTTATAATTAATTAACATCACATTTTGACATAATCATTAAAACTTAGTAGTATTCATTAATGATTTCATTTCTTAGTGCTCAATAAGTGTACACTTTCTACGTGTACAATACTTGTAATGGAATACCTGCCACTAAAAAAACGCAATACTGAAAAAACGCAAGTCGTTCCATTTCTTTGATCCCAAGTGTACATAGTCTATTATAGACTAAAACTAAGTATCTAAGTGTTTATATATTGATTATTTTTACGGGCTCTGGCTCTAGCGTGTTTTCGTCTCCATTTTTCTTTAACTTTTTCATGTTCTTCAGGATCCATGTCTTTGACCAGTTTTCTATTTCTTAAATATTTAATACGATCTTTTTCTTTCCATTCTTGTAACTTTAATGGGTTAGTTTTAACCAATTCGTAACGTCTACGTTGTGCTTCTCTTTTTTTCTGTAGATGTACCTCACGTTTTTCTTCCTCCTCTCTCGTAAGCTCTGGCAGCCATATTATGTCTGTAAATGCACAAATCGTTATCTAGAATCCTAGCCATACACCCATAAAGAAAGCCTTCGTCTCTCAAGGGCAGGAAGAAACTAAAACTATATCGGTATCGGGTAAAACTGTTAAAAATACAGCCTTGCTATATAGGCTCATCACATCACGCTTAAAGAACTGTGTTCCATCATGTTTCTACATGAATTTATTTAAGTATATTTTTAGCGAAATAGTCTAACGAAACATCCATACAATATTTATACGAAACTTCGCATTTAAATTATCCACCCATACTAATTCTCTCATTAGAATATTCCTAAAGAAGTAAAGACTAATAAACTATGACAGTAAGTAGCGATGACGTCACATCACAGCCGTTCAGCTGGACTTTAGCCGACAACACTGTGTCTGTTATCTATGACGCAGTATCGTACGAGATAAAGGAAGTAGGAACACAGACGCCCACGAACTTGAGTCGTACTGTTTATCTTTATTCAGTTAGAATTAGGTTTATTTTTGCATGCAGGTTAAATCAATACAATCCGGAATTGTTTTTTGATTTTCGACTTTATATTGCAAAAGAATAAAGTTCTAAATTTGATAAATAAAGACAGAAGAAGTATAAGTGTGTTGTCCACTGAATGTACAGTTAACGTATGATCTTTAATTATGCAGTAGGTATTTAATAATTAAAGTCTTCATACAAAACGCCTCTGTATAATCGCTGATTACTTATGAATCGGTTATTTGATACCAGATTTTAATTTCGTTGTAAACGACATTTCGTGGCTTGATTTAAATATAGAATTGTGTTATTCCCCGAATGACTGAATCAATGTTAACACTGTTAATGCTTTTATACTGGATGTGGTCATCAAAAAATAAAAGTATAACTATTCATATATTAGCATTTTTGTTGTACTGTTTGTAAATTAATTCTAAGAAGTTTGAAACGATACTCTTCTTCAGTCTTGGAATAGGGCAAGCAGAGCGAGAAAGTAGTCAGATCACCTGATGATAAGCGATAAGCGCCGCCCATGGAACCCATGGACACCTGCAATACCTATGGAGCTACAAGTGCACTGCCAGCCTTCTAAGAAGAATTTCAAGTTTCAAGTGTAAGAGAGCTATGCTTCGGCACAAATAGGCCGGCTCGACCGGTAAGATACCACGGCCTCACAGAAAACCGATGTGTAACAACA